GTAGGGAAAATGCCCTGTGGTAAGTCGATATGGACCTCTGTATCTTCCTGAGTTCCTGCTGTGCCTCCTGAGACCTCTACTTTTGGCTCTCGAGCTCCATTTTCCTCTAGGTGCAGGCTGTGTTTTCTGTGGTATATTGCTGTGCTGCCCTATACCATGATCTATGCTCAAAATGTTTGTTTGGTTCAACAAGCTGATATTAAATGATTTGATTCAGATAGCTAGAATCGTGTTATTTGGTTTGATAATGCTGAAAATGCTGTTCCCTGAAGTGTTTAGATTTTTCAGCTTTTTGCCTTGATGTAGAAATAGCAAAATTTCCTGGGGGACAGAAATTGAATTTTTCAACCTACTAGAAACTTAGCAGGAGGGAAAGATATTTTAACTTAAATCCTGATGTTGGAAGAAATTCTCTGCTTGAGTTTAGAGGCATGTTGGGACAGAAGATGTTGTGACAGTAGAAAGAATCGACCTGTTCAAGCTTCCTCTTTATTAAAGCGACTGCATTTTCTGTATTTAAACAAACGCCTGAGTAGAAGAGAGTCACCACTAGCCTTGGCCCACTTTGTTTTTCTCATCGCATCTCTGTCAGGGGATGCCATCTCTGATCAGAGAGATGAGCCTTCAATTAGATCTTCAGACAAGCCGCTTGAGAAGAATTTACTGTAAATATCTGCCAGATGTGAAACAGGGGTGACTGTGGCTGCAACTCGGTCATGAGGTGCTGAGCACATGCTGGACAAGTGTGTGCTGAGAAGGGATCAGAGAGTGAAAGCCTCAAGGGTGATTTTGGGTGAGCCCAGTGCTGACCATGCTGACCATGTTCGGTCCATGGGACAAAGTCCACCTTCTTGTAAGTGCCTTGACTGGAGTTTGACTATTGCAAATAGTAGTAGCAAAGAGCCAGTTAGAAAATGGCAGAGCACTTTAGATGGCAACTTTTTTTTTTTAAGGGGAAAGACTATTTCTCCTTTTGGAAACTCTTTGCATTTACATTGTGCTCTTCCATCTTCCCCCTTTTTTTCTGTTTTCACAGGAAAATGTGCTTTAAAAGAAACCTATATTTTCATTTGGAAATGAGGTAGATAAGAAAGTTCTTTTTTTAAAAACAGTAAAAGTTTTTGCCTTGAAGAGAGTGATCAGCTCAGCCACATTGCTCCATGCCCCTGCTGAGTCTTTGCTCTGTTTCGCAGGGCATCCCCCGGGCTGTGGTGGCCCGTTATTTCTCCTCTGTGCTCCTGCAAACCCATCTGGAACAGGACTCTGTGCCATGCTCCCTGCCAAGATGCTGGTGGCAGTTTTACTACCTGCCTGTTTTTAGTAATTAAGAAATGTGAGGCTTCACATTCAGCCAACATGCATGGCAATTCTCTGACTGTTTTGGCCATCAGGGATCTGGTCTTCGGACTGGAATCACCTGGATGTTTGATAGAGGCTGTCTACTTTGCAGAATTAAGCTGTTTATGATCCATTTTACAGCTCCGTGCTGCTTTTTCTTCCCCATGGCTGCCACTGGGAGCTGCAATGTGAGATGGAGTGTGCGTACATTCAGCAAATTTACATTATACATGAGGTGAAAAAGTTTTCAGGATAGAGTTAAACTTTCCCTCTTTAAGCTCATGAAGTTTGATCTTAATTTCATTGGTTTGAAATAAAGAGTGGATGGAGTTGGAAGTGAAGTGAAGGTGGAGGATTGGATTGATTTCCTGTGGGAAATTCAGTGCAATTAATTCAGCTTCACTGACTGATTCTTGGATCTAGCGATAAAGGGATGAATGGGAAGAGTTATGCTGAGACAAAGCCATGGAGCTCAACTTAGCAGTTTCCCTAATTTTTTTGTCAGGAATTGCTGCCACTTTCAAAACATAGTTTTGCATGGGCTTCTACTAGTTTTCATGTCATACAGCTGGTTTTAGGCTTGTGTTACTATAATATCTCCAGTAATTTTACATTAGGGATCTTAAGGAATCTACTAGTGAGGAGCAGAAGTCCTTGGACTGAAAAAAATAGTGATGAGCAATTCCTTCCCAGACTAACCCTTGATCTCAGTATGCATGGTCTCAATATGCTGACACCTTCCTGGTTATTACTTTTCTGCCTGTTGTAGAAGCAGCAGCATGTGGTGACCATCTGGCTGAAGTAACCACAGCCTTCTGCTCCAACATGGATTCAACTACTGATGTAAGGAGGCATTTCCCATCCTCCCTTTTTCATTCAATTTTTTCTCTCCCTTCTGCAAATAAAACTGTTTCTGAAAATAAATGTCCTAGGCATAGTTGTGTCTTAGCAGATCTTGAGGACAGAGCTACCTGGGGGTGTGGAAGTACCCCCAGCTATGCAGTCGTCTCTGCTGTCCCAGAGCCAGCCCAGCTCATGGTGTGCAATCTCCATGCCTTTTGAAAGCACCATCCTGCTCCAAGATCCTGACTTCTGGTGGGAGGCATGAGGAACAGGAAAATTTATCTCTGTTTCAAGCTCTTCATTAATGTGTGGTATAGAGTACTGCCAGGCTGCCCAGTCCTTTTGGATGTGCATCTTCTAATTTAACCATGAAGAAATATAATGGTGTTCTGCATGCTTTCTTTTAAATGGAAGCTATCAGGACTTGAAGCTCAGGTAGCTGGTGGCTCTTTCTCAGAAGGATTCCAAACTTTTTTCAACTTCTTCTTGGGGTGGCTGCAGAAAGACTTCTTCAGTTACAGCACATGACTTTGCTCCCACAAGGATGTGCTTGGATATGCTTAGATATGCAAACAGGGAACTGTATACCCCACTGCACAGGTTAATGCTGGATGTAAAGGTCAACATGAGGAGCTGGTTAATGACTTTTTTCTTTCTTTTAGCTTGTGTAGCTGTATTTAATTAAAAAAACCCCAAAAAAACAAACCAATATTGGTCAGGAAAATAAGAATATATTTCACTTTTCAGTGATATTTGTGTGAAAGAATCTGCCCCAGAGGGAGGATGAAACTCTGTCACAGGCTGGATCTCCATCCATGAGGTATTTCAATATTGCCAGACAAAGCCACAGCTGACCTGATCTGTTGTTGTCAATTGTCAGGAGGAGGTTGCATGGGAGATCTCCAGAGGTCCCTTCCCACCACATTTCTATGACATTGTTAATTATTATGATCTCTCACTTTTAAACCCCCTCAATTTCTTTTATCCAATGGCATGCTCAAAGTCTTCACTTTCTCATTTTAGGCTTAGACAGTGGGAGTTTAGCTCTGCCCTCCCCCACCTCGGTGGAGCTCTCCACATTGAGTCACCTCACCTGATGCTGTAGAGGACATTGCCGTTTCTGGAGATCCTCAGAAGCTTGTTGTCTGTGGTAATCTCATGGAAATGGGCCCCTTTCTCATTAGCGAAGAACAGGTCAGGCTTCCAGATGGAGTCCAGCATAGAGGGGTCCAGGTCCAGAGAGTCATCAGGGTACTCATTGTACGCCAGCCGTGGGTCATTCCACTGCTGTCGCAGGAAGATGTTCACCCTGTAATCCTGCACGGTGTAAGCAGGGAGCAGAGAAATGCAGTTAGTGCTCAGAGCAGGCTGAAAGTGCTGAGAACTGGGGAACATGTACTAAAATCATTCTCAAAAACAAACCATGTCTAGGCCTTATTTCCCAAGCTATGGCAAGCCTTCTTGGCATTATTTCTCAAGGAACTGTCATTATTTTTAGCTCTGTAGCTTACAGCTATCTCATAGCATGAGCAGCTGCCTATCCTTGCATCCCTCCGTCACAGCAATCGTCAGCTGCGTGTGAAGTGTCAAGACCTCTAGTCTGAACCCTGAGGCTGAAGAAGTGATGTTCAGTTGTGGAGGTCGTAAGGGCTGGTGTCAGCATGATGATTGCTGCAGAGGATTAAGGGGGAAAGGAGACCGAAGCCAACTTCCTTTCAGTGTTGAGCCATCCCATATTGTGATTATCTATGGTTCCTCCAGACTTGTGAAAAGAAAAGGTACAGTGAGACAGGCAGTCCATGGAAGGGATATTCCCTCTATGTGCACTAATATAAGGGTAACTCAGATGAACTGATGGCAGCAGCTGCCCCTGGTGAGAGTATATGAACATGAGAGGGATGTACATGAAGTCTGCTCTCCTAATCCTAAGTGAGTGTTCTGGGTCCTGTCTCTGATGCCAAAATGCCATAAATGCTACAGATTTTATAGGATGGCCATCTTCTTTAATTGAAGCCAGTCCCCCAGCACTATGAAAAATGATATGTGTCTCATAACTGTGTGTCTTACAGCTCCTCTGAGTTCCCCAGGCCAAGGCTGGCTGCTGAGGTTGGGTTCAGACACTTTCCTGGACAATTAAAGGCAGTTTCTGTTCTCCCTGTCAGACCAATAGCTTCCCAGGGTGAACGGCTTGCCCCTTTTCTGCTGAATTTCACATAACAAAGTGAGCCAACAAATTGAAATGGGGAGAGGACGTGCCACGTATCAGGAGAGGGATAAAAGCTCCATGTCCATAAATTAATTGACATTTTCTAAGTATAGAGGCAGACTGTGTCTGAAGAGCAGCATGTAATAAATCAATTTCACTGCCCTGGCCCAAACTAATAGTTGCTATCATGATTCAGGGTTTCTTTAGTGCCTTTCTAATACTATTGTACTTTGAAGACTTTTATTAAGAGACATGTAATGGAGGGTGTCTGATGTGCTTGCTGGTGTCTAATACCTGCTGCAGGCACTAGGACCTTTCTTTCAGTGAGACTATTTCACATCTCTGAGGAGATCTCCCTGTCTGTTCCATCAGGGAAACACAAAGCTCTGGAGTTGAAGGGTGCATGTGAAGGACAGTCTGATGTTGCTGCCTCAAGTGTTCACTTGACTATGAACCCACAGCCTCTTGTCTAGGAGGAAATGACTCTTGTGGAGTCCAGTCACACTGGAGGGCTGGGAGAGGATTGTGTCTTGGGTGCCTTATGTTTTGGATGGGGCAGTTCATAGCCAAGCTCATGGTCTAGAATTTGGCCACTTAGTGCCGTCTGCATCCTCAGAGCACGGAAGCTGCTAATGACGTTAATGATTGTGACAACAGCAAATGGACCAAGGACTTGACACTAAAAGGAGCAGACCTCTGAACACGAGAAAGAGTTGCAGCACTCTCTCCTTCTGCTGATATTCCAAATGCCACTTTCACAAGTCCTAATGCATCCCTCTGACTTAATTATTCATCTCTGTCCATCCTGGGTAATGTGTCTTGAGAAAACGTGAATAGCTGTGGACAGCTAGGAACCAGGGGCTTAGTGCAGGACTAGCCAATCACGCAAACCTGGAAAAGAAAAGCAAACCTGAATCTCCACTTCCCATGGCATGCAGCAGCTCCCTGAACAACTTGTATACTTTCATTTCTCCCTTTTCTGTGTGTAAAGATCTGCAGCCATTGCAGTCAGAGGAAATCAATGTCACTGACCTAACAGGTAGAAAGCAAACGGTTGTTTTGCTTATTCAGCTACAAATAAGCTGGATGCTAGCAGGTCAGCTCCAGTTGGGGGCTTATGTCATGTATAACACAAATTAAACTCATGTTTGGAAGAAACTTCAGTGGTAGCTGCCCAGAAGTGTTCTCAGCCTGATGGAGTGTTGTAAGGGGGAGGGGGGAATGGAGCCAATCTCTCTACAACAGCCTGTGTTGCCACGGATAAGCTTTGTTGCTGGAATAAATTCACTGCTTCAGCTCCCAAACTTGCCAAAAGGAAAGGAAAGGGTGAGAAGAGAGGTGTAGTGTGGTTTACGTGGCCACCACAGCAGGCATAAGAGGCCATAGACAGAATGACTGCCATAGTCTTCATCACTGTGATGAAGGATCTTAATCACATGCTTGTAGGCCAAATGAAAATTAACTTCTCACAGTAGATGGCTGTGAGAAGGCCCCTTCTCACTCATCTCCAGGGGATGTTCAGCAGTGTGGTGAGTAACTCTGGTGCATGCTATTCTTTGTGCTTCTTCTTGGAGAAAAGTGTTTGCAATGGATATTTTTTGTTTTGGAATGTAGAGACTTGAGCAATTATGTTGTGATATAAAAAAAGGCAAGGCCAAAGAAATATAATACATGCACTGAATACAGTTCTCTAACTTTGCCATTTTATGGCATTAGTATTTTACTGTGTGTGTGTTTAGGAAGATCTTACTTCCCAGCGGGTTTATTCCACAGTCCCGGCCACTGAGAACTGTTGTTTCCTCCCGGATGCCTTTTCCCTTATGACAACCAGCTGCATTGCAGTGTAGTATTGAAGGTGCTGAGCAGCCTTTTAGGTTTCTTGTGTCCAGGCTTATTTGTACACAAATGTAAAAACAAACACTGAGACTGCAAACTGGATGTGACACTGACTGAGAAGGCAGCAGAAGGCATGGAGAGCAAATGGGGTATGTCTATGGCTGTGACATAACCCAAGATAGGGGTTACAGTATTCTGTACCAGCTAAAGGATCCAGCATGTTGAATGCTTCATGCCTCGGCATTGCAGTCAAGCTGAGAGGTGATGAGCTAAACAACACTCATTCGTTGGCTACCTGGAGATATACAGTGTTCCTCCTGGATGCTGTTGTATGAGATCTTAATTAGAATCACCAAGAAGTCCACAGTTATTCTTAAATGATGAACAGAATGGACCAATTTCGATATGAACTTTCAAGCAAAAAAAAAAAAAAAAAAAAGGTTTTACTAGGGCTGCAAACTCAGCAAAAAAATCTCTTTCTCCATATCTTTCTTATCACTTGAGCTCCTCATTTGTGTGCCAATCACATCCAGGCATTGATTATCTTGTGCAGCCTGCTCCCCTGGCTGGCTTGGGAGTGGAGAGCAGCAACTCGGTGTTGTGAAGGCATTCAGGAGCTTTGCAGTTAGGCACAAAGGCATTTTACTCCCAAGGGGGAAATGACACAGAGCAGGAAGAAAATAACTGAAGTGATCAAAGTAGTTCAATTCGATAACGCTGAAATGAAAATCTGTTTAGTGGCCTTGCAAGGAGCCAAGGAAATGGAAGATCATTTCAGATCTTTCCTTCCCAAGATACCACAGTCTTGGCATCTGATGATGAGCGCGCTGATGAAAGCAGTGGCAGGCTGGAGGTAGTGCTGTGAAGAAGGGATGGAGGCTGTCAGGAAACTCAACAGGTTTCAGCCCCTGACTCAGGGGTTCTGTCAGACCAACATCTGCACTGAACAGTTTTGATAGGAGACTTCACTTTGGTAGATTTACATTTTGCTGATGGAAAAAAAAAAAACCAGAGTAGAGACTGAAATTCCTCAGGAGGGGATTCTGTTATCCCACCTGGACAACAGAGCACAAGGGGGTTTATGGTCATTGAGTTAATTCATTAGAAATGGAATGAACAAACATTTTTAAGGCTACTTGCCCTGCAAAGGATCATCACAACTGACTAACTGTGAAAAAACAAACAAAAAAACCCCATACTGGAAGCAGACCTTGGAAGGGTTAATAAGGGACCTCGTTTCTTTGCCACAGCTGTAGCCAAGTAGCCAGTTTGAAGCCTGGTGTGAAAGGCACAGCTGGGCCGAGGAGAGGAGGTGCTGTGAACAGTAGCTGTGTTGGAGGTGCTGCTGAGGAGGGAGGCTGTTGCTTGAGGAAGGTAAGTGTGTGGTACATGTGTAGCCAGCATCCTGAATTTCAAGTTTAAGAATTTAGAAGTGAGGTCTTGTTCTTCAGCTTGAGTTGTTTGTTTTTTTTGTTGTTGTGCTTGGTTTTTCTTGTGTGGATTTTTTTCCTTCCCTTCTCCATTCAGTGTAAACTCCAACCACAGAGATAGCCAAAACATTGTGGGTCTAACATTGAAACTGCAGCAGGCTGTGAGATGTTGTGAAAACCTTTTCATTTTGTATTGCATGACTTGTTATATGCTTATCATCTCTGTGGGACTGATGGTTGGTTTCAAGAATGACTGACTACAGAAAATGGAGCTCAAAACCTAGCCTTTGCTACAGGCTTTGTGCATTGATACTTGTGTCTCTTGCTGACCTTGGGGTGAGTGGGCACAGTATTAAATGTGACCTGTACGTTTCCTCAGTTGTATTTGCTATCTGCTGCACTGTGGCTTGTGAGGCTGGAGTGAATTGCTTAGTCTGTTTTGCAGGATGGTTTGTTATCTCATTGGAAAGCTCACATACAGCTGTCTCTGAACAAGTATGTAATGTTTGGACAGTTGCAGCCTCTAGCTTCTCCTGTCCTTAGGAGATGCTGGGAGACTAATTGTGGCTGTATTGCAGCTGGCTGGAAGGTTACATTTTGGTTTGCTTTTTTTCAGATGGGATAACTATGGCATGAAATCAGCAGAAATAAATTTGTGTCTAGGGGAGCCTGTTCTGGCTGTTTTGTGGCTTTATCTCTTTACACTTGTTTGCTGCATGTGGGTCCTCTTTAAAACATGGGACTGGAAGGTGTCATCTTGAGCATTGAGTCCACCTCCTAGCAACTCTGTGTGATGATATTTAAAAAAAATATTCCTCTTTCTCCATGTGCCTTCGCTGTATACAAAATGCTCCCAGCTGCCTAAGCTAGTGAGAGATCCATAAAACTGCAACTTCCATTGGAAGAGAGATCAAGGGCATTGCTTAATTCCACATTTGCTTTTTATAGCAGAAAACTTGTTAGATGAAATGCTCGGATAATCCTTCCAGTTGTCTCATGCTACAAAGAAATGCCAAAGCTGGTGCAGTTTATTCACTTTAAAATTAAGACCCTGTTCCCTAGGTGCTTGACTTCTGTTTCATTTTGAATGAAGAAGCTGTAGCTTTACTGTGGGTTTCCTACTCTGGTATGGCCGGGAGGAAGGTGCTTGTGCTTTCAAAGCACAAAAAGGACTTTAACAGCTTGTGGTGGTGGTCAGGTTTTCTTTTGTTTTGTGTTTTTAATAAAAATAAATGGATAGAGTGGATGCATTGTGCATTTGTCTTCCGGAACCCCTTGCTGTTGGATGTGCTGTTGTAGTAATGCTGAAAGTGCAGAAGGAGGCTACCTGGACTTGTCTGGCTGATGTAGCTGGTAGTATCTTTCCTCTTGAAGCACCTGTTGGGTTCACAAGGATTTGTTCCCAATTGCGGGTTCTCTTGTCCTTGGAGCTGATTGCAAGTGAGGCTGATTGATTGGACATTTATGGTGGATATAAGCTATGAGCCACAATCTATTATGTGCACCAGTAGAGGCTTTTATGTTCAGTGTCTAGTTCTGCAGGATGCTTAAAGGAGTTTACTTCCCTTGCTCTAAATCAGCTCTGCTTTGGGGAATTTGCTTTGGAGGATGACTTTGTTTTTGTGTGGGGTTTTTTTTTTTTCTCTTTTCCTTTTTGTAGGAACTAACAGCCCTGCTATGGAGATATTTTAAGGGCTTCTCTAATTGCATGTCTAGTATCCATAAAAACTTGTGACTTTTCTCCTGTAGGTAGTAGTGCAATAGTAACCAAATATAAGATGATGTAGTACCTGAACCTGGCCAGGCTTAGGATGCCTAATGATTGAGTTTTAAACCATAATGTTGTTCTTTGTCTTTTGGCCAGTGAAGTGGCTGGGGAAGTGTTACCATCATCAGTCTCAAGGGTCAGTGATAGACTACTGCTGCCTTCTTTATGGTAAAATGTTGAATTGTGCCTCTGTCACCCAAGCTTTTTCCGTCTGCAGCTATTTGGTCACTTGCTTGAATTCAAAGTAGTCAGGTCTATGTCTCAAAATCCCTTCATGATGGGTCCTTCTGCCCTTCCCAGAAACTGTGGTAAGGAGCTAACACTGCTTCTTTGGCCTGCTGCATCGTCAAACAGTGAGGAGAGACTAGCTGCTCTGCAGAGTAAATCCCAGGTTAGTAAATCCCAAAGATTGCTCTAACTTTCTGGGCTCTCATTTTTAGATGTTTATGTACACGTGTTGCTTCTGTTCTCATCAGCCATTTACAAGTAGAATTGCTGTCCCCAAAGAAGTGTGTTATATTAGGTTGTGCGCAATGCTGCGTCAGCCTGACATCTGGACTAGCTTGTCAGAGCTGGCTTGGGTATTTCTAGACAAAGCAATGTGCCCAGAGGGTGTTCTTGAGTTCCCATGGGAATTTTTTTCTATGGAAAATAGACTATGAAATGAGTGGCATCTGGAGAGGATAGCAAGTCCCTGCAGCATGTCTTGGAGGTGAACTTCATCTCTCTCTCTCTTATATGCTAGTCTACGCTAATTTTATGGAGCATCCTGCTTACTGGGATCCTGTGGCATCTTTGTGTAACTGCTCCAATGCATCTTGCAATGTAGGACAGATATATTGGAAAACATGTCATTGTAATGTGCCCTGTACATTGCACAGGGATCCCTTGTGGGCTTGCCCTTCTCCCTTGCAGTCTGTGGATAGTCTCTGCTAGATTGTGTAGGAACAGAGTATTTATTGCCTATAACACCAAAGGAGGTATCCAATAAAATAGTACATTAGGAACAGATGTGCATTTTGGTTCTAGTTCTTTATCTTTTGCTTTATATACAAATGAATCCATGAATACACTTATCTATGAACTCTGACAAATTCTGCAATCCAACTACAAAATATGTTTCTTTGTGCTTGGACAGAGTAAACAGCTTTTCTTTCTATTGCTGGAACTGAACTGCCCAAACACTTCCAGAAGAATGGTATAGTGTCAAAAGAGACTTATAATAATAGGTATATAACAGGTATATAGCTGTTGATCTCCTCTGACAGTGGTGAGCATGACAAGTAACTTGAACAAGTCAAGGGGTGTGATCTAGATGTAAAGCCTGTAACATCCAGCCTGAATGCACAAAATACCTGAAGCTGGAGTCATGCATTCTTCATTCAATATTTTTCTAGAAAAAGAATTACCAAAGAGTAATTAAACATCATATTTCTGGATTAGCTTTAATTAGCACTGAGGTAAGGCACTGTACCTCCAGAGTTTTCCTTTGCTGTTCACTGATTATGTCACAACTAATCTTTAATAGTTTTCAGATGGAGCAATTATCTCCTGTTCTAGTGAGTCTCTGCTTCTAGTGTCTTGCCAATTAGCTACAGCCTTTAGCCATGTTCACTAATTGTGTCTGAAGTGAGCCTTAACTTGCACATATTAGTTTTGATTTTTTTTTTTGTTAAAAATCATTGTTTAACAGAAATATGTCTCCAAGAAAATAATCAATGGGAATCTGAAACCTGGTGCAGACTGAATTTGAGTTCAGCTGATTTCCCTTCACTTAAAGTGTTGATTCAAAATTTTGGATTTATGTGCACTTAAACACAGAGTATCTACAGCTGTCTCCGAGCTTGGAGCCTTGGGAAAGTCTTCAGAAAAGACTATTTTTTTTCCTTTTCTGACCCTTATACTTTGCCTGTACAGTGTTTATGTAGAGATGCAGGTAGAGACTGTGTTATCTTCAGCTACATGCAGTGCGAGTCTTGTGTTGACTGTTAATTTAGTCAAACCTTAGGTAAACTTGGGAACATGGAGACAATATTTTCCTCTGGTTGCACTAAAGAGGAGGGTGATGCTACATTTACTGGGAGTCCAATGAGGCTCAGCCAGTAGCTGAGCAGCTGTGCTGTGATTTTTTTACTTACCATAGTCGTTTCTGCAATCGAACCAAAGCTGTTGATGAAAATGTTGCAGCTGACATTCACTGGTGGGCCTGCATGACAAATACAGATTGGAACAGCAGCTCACCGTGTGCTTATAAGACAAAGTAGTTCCACTCCGCATTATCGAAACCTGTTATAGGAACAGGGTGACTGAAGGATGAGTATGGGAATAAGGTCTGGATGGCTTGTCTTGGTTCTGATGCTGGTTTGACATCAGACAATACTCTTGCTTCGCTTCTGTTCCCCTGTTTGGGAGAATGTTTATATATTTCTTCTGTGAACTGTTTTGATGAAAAGTAGATCACACCCAGGCAGGACAGCTCTCTAGATATTGCGGTATTGCTGTATGGGTGCCAAGCTCACCTTGAACATGACAGCAATGTATCCCAGAAAAGAACTGAGAGACTATTTACAAGCCCTCTTGTTTAGAACTGTATACTTTTTAGATACTTTAAATGAGTATTTTAATGTTTCTGAGCTAGGACCATCAGCTCCTTAAGGAGCCAGTGGAGCAGGGTGTGCTGTAGGGACGAGGCTGGGAAAGGAGGGAGTTCCCCATGTGATAATGGTGGTATCTGTTAGGGCTCACAGCTGGGTAAGAGACTTCAAGGCTCTGCCAGCAGAAATTCTGTGTCCTGTGTTGGGAGAGGGTACTCCCAGACTTTGGGCCATGCCTGTCCTGGCTTTATTTGCTTTCAGACCGAAGGCTTGCTTAGCCTGCTTATTAGAAAAGTTAAGGGGTCACCAAAGGAGGGGAGTGAGGATTAAGGGATTAAAAGATTGTGGTTAAAGGGCATGGGGGTCTGTCTGTTTGTGTGGTACTGGTGCCCAAAGGTATCAGTATGACTGGAAGTGGGTCACAATATTGCCTGGCAAACCTGAGGTGGAAATGTTGAATATGCACTGAGGGAGATGCTAAGAACACAACATATTAAAAAAGGAGAACAGTTTGGAACCAGAGCCGTATCGGGTGCCTGGCAAACCAGTGGCCTGCCCACATATAACAAGAAGATTTCTGTAGAGCCTTAACAAGGGGAGGGGGGAAGCAAAAGGAGCCTCTGCTCTGGGGGGTCCCAAAGGACCTGCTGCTGCTGCCCAGAGTGTGGTGGGGAAAGGCAGCCCAGGCAGAGAGCAGAGGAACCTCACCAGGAATCAAGGTGCCCCTTTAACACTGGGGGAATTAATCTCATATCATACCTGTTACAGATGCTTCTGGGAAGATAAGATCTGTTGAAGTGGTGAGTGTGGATTTTAGATTATTTTTCCATCCTTTATGGAGATGAGGATGGTGTCTGCATTTCAAACACTGTCTGATGGCTCAGCCTTGCTTGGGGAGTGATGCTTGCCTGTTAAGGCCACATCTGCAGTCTGGCAGCTGCTGCAAGATTAAATACTTGGAGGGAGGAATGGCTTTAACAAGAGGCTTGTGCCTCTAATCAGTACAAATTTCCTCCTGTGTGGAAATTAATGGAATATCCTGATTACTAAGTGACATTTGGAGCTTGGTTTGCTCCTCTTTGTTTCCTTTCCTCCTCTCCTGCTATTGGCTTCCTCTGAAACTTTGTGCCTGTCCTCTGCAGGAGTAGGATTGCAGCCATGTAACAGCAATGCTCTCTATGGCTGGGATCTTCTAGGTTTGAGTCCCAGGCTATCCAGGCAGGCTTCTGTCTAACCAGCTCCCAGGCAGCCCTGTGCCAGCACAGCAGCTCGCGTACTGTTCGACCCGTGCAGCTCTTCCTCCAGACTGTTAAACATAGGCATGGGCTAAAATAGCGGATATAAAATGGTGTCTCTCTCTGCTCCTCCCTTCACCAATCCCTGTTATCCAAAAGGCTTGAAAAGTTTATCCAGCAGCTGAAAGCACACTTTTGATCAGGCTTTAGCACTTGTTTTATCCCTTCCTGAGCTCAGGAGTAATAGTTTTCTTCTCTGGATCTCATGAACCATATAGAAGTCCATATGCTTGTGATTTCCCCTCCCAAAGAGCACAGCATAAGAAAAATACTGAGCTGACCTCCTAGATGACTGCATGCCCTCATGCCTCTGACATGCATGGAAGATTTTGGCCCTGTTCCTCCTCCTCCTGTGCTAATGTGCTCTAGCAAAGCTGAGTATGGGATGAGCTTGGCCCAATACACAAAAGAAGACTCCTTGGGGCAGCCCAGCTCTTGCTAAGGCACCGTGCTCTTCCCACTGTGTCCAAGGGGAGCTGTGAGCACTTTGCAGGGTTTTTTGTTTGTGGGTTTTTGTGGTGTGGTTGTTTTGGGTTTTTTTCCTAGCTTGTGTTAGGCTCTAAAGACTTCCCTGCCTGCCACTGCAAAATGCCACCTCTGCGGTGGACGCAGTTGTGAGGGAATGAGGTTTTCCAGCAGTAGGGTTAAGGGCACAGCCTGGGGGACAGGTCCCTTGTCCCACACTTGCCAGGTCCAGCTCTGTCCCTGCCTGGGTTACTGACTTCATCCTCCAACCTGAAGCAAAGAACGAATGCTTCTTCCTTGTTCTCAGAATGTGAATCCTCAGCTAAGTCCGGACTTCACAGCATTTATGGAAAAAGCTGCAATCTTTTTGTTAATCTTCCCCTCCCCAAAAATCAATCTGATATGGATCTTTGGTATTATTTTCATTTAGATCTAAGCCATTAAAATGCCCTTATGAGTTACTGCAGTTAATTTAAATGACATGCTTTGAGAGCTACAACCTCAAGCTCTGTGAAACACCTCCTATGCCTCCCATATAAATTGGAACCTGATTTATGTGTGGGAGGCTAAGCCAGCAAAACTGCCCTGTGGGGAAGGTGTAGTTCATTGAAATAAAACTGAAATTAAATTATCTCAAATAAAAATGCAATACAGCTGCCTTCAGAAGGAAGATAATGTATACATTTCATTAAATATTAAAGTTTAATTTCTTTTGTGTGTGTGCATTACTTAGTGGTAGGCAGGTTTGCAGGGTGTTTTTTTTAACTCTTTGTGATTTGGATAAAACCAGCAGTGTTTTCTGTTGCCTAGTTGATTACTAGGACTTAGGCTTCCCACCTATCTTTGGGTTTATAAGCCCAGAACAGAGCTTATTGCTTGAAGCTGGGTGGCAGGTGCTGTCACCATGATTAGTGGGTCCTGGGAGCCCTGTGTTGACATTGCCAGTGACTCTTGGGGCAAAGAGGCATTGGTGGTAGGAAACAAAAGTAGTGAGTGAAATGTGCATTGAGGAGGGCTGGATGGTGGCAGAGAGGAGGCAGGTCCTGCTTAGTCGCTGGGTGTGAATCAAGCCCTGGGAAAGTGAGCTCGGTTAAAGAAAGCAAAAAAAGCCACAAACCCCACCCTTGTCAGAGTTGCTTTGGGGACCAAAGATGTCCTGTGGCCTTTTCCAAGGCTGCCTTCAATGCTGCCAGTATAGGGCAAACTGGGGAAATTGGGTGTGAAACACAGCTGTTGGATGGGGGACAGTGGTGGGTCAGAGCTGCCCAGGCATCTTGCTGAATTCCTCTGGAGCTGATGGGAGAGATTTCTCTTGGCTTCAGTGGGTGTAAGGGGGGACCGTTACCCACTATGAGAAGGTGTTGTGGGCAGTGACTTATGGAAAAGTAGAAGTTTTTCTCCTAATCTGTAAGAGGTTCAGTTCCTTGCTGGTCACCATTTGGTTTGGCGGGATCCCCTGTCCCTATATTGAAGCGTTTCCTGCATGTAAAGTTGTTATAAGATTGTTTCCATTCTGAGTGGAAATCAAATGCCTTTCCAGATATCTACAAGGCATCCATGTGCCAAATCTCTCATTATACATATTTCATGTGAACATACAGATTGTTCATATTCAATATACAGTTAGAGAGGCATTCATAAGGATTGCATGCAGGTTTTGGCCCCAAAATGAAACAAAGCCACAAAAACAGAGGTTTTGCATACCTTTAAAATTGGGCCTGATCCTGGCATCGTATCCTGAAGTTCGCCCCATCAACTTATCCAAGAAATCGGAAGGAGACATGGGTTTGGGGGCAGATCGTGCTGCTGCTTCAGCTTCTTTGGAGGCTGCCAGGCTGTTTTGAGTAGAAAGAAAGAAAGAGGAGACTTTAGCATACATCCCATAGTGGGGGGAGTTTGGGGTCCAGAAACCGAGCAGTCAGCATCTCATTCCCACTGTGAGGCAGGATGAGTACCCATGTGAATTCCTAATGAGGCTGGTCTCTGCTAATTTGTTTGCCTAGCCCAAACATCTCTGAATACAGAATCCCAGCTGCCACCAAAGCAGAAGAGAGATGATGAGTGGAGAAAATCCTTTTGTGAGTTTAGGTATAGCTCCTTGGCATGCCACTAAATTACAAATGTGAACTCTGGCACTGAGCTCCACAGGAAAAACACACTCTGAGCTTAGCCTTGGGCAGCAATTACTGCTTAATTACATGGCAAATAGCAAGGAGCGTATTTGGTACTCTGACAGTCTAATTTTCCAAAAGGCAGGTAGGATCAGAGCAATGTGGAATTTGATGCTGAAATGAGTGTCATGTGATTGCATAGCTCCTGCAGAACCCTTGGGACTAAAGGGGATAGATGCTCTTTTATTTCCTGCTTGTTGGTCAGTCCAGCATTTGCTATTGGTACCTGCAATGCAGGGGTCTGAGTTCAATACAGCAACGTAGTGTCTGGAGTGTGATCCTGAAATGATGCTCATGTTGGGCTGAGGATGAAAGGAAATTAAATCTTTTGGGGACCTGCACAGCCTCTGGGATGGAAAGAGTCAAATTACCAATTTATCGGTAGAAGACAAAAATCTAAGGCTGGTTTCTGACTCCATGAGAGCCTGAGAGATCGGCAGGGTGATGCTCTGGGCTTAGGATGTCTCTGTTGTTGCCATCTACACAGGAACAAGTGACATCTGGTACTAAGTGCTCATTCTCAACTTTGCAGGAAGTTTTGATTTCCAGGATGGGAATGGACACTATTCAGTTCCTTATCTATGGTTATATTGCTTCTGCTCAAACACAGATCTGTTCCCAAGCTGAAAGTGTGATGTAAAATTGCCTAGGCTAGTGCAAAACATCCCCCCCCCCAATAAAAAAAACCACAACAAACAAACACACACCATCGGTGACATACAGTGTGCTTAGGGCAAGAGCTGTCTCTGCGGGTGGGTTCAGATGCCTGATGCTGGTTGAAGCCTACAGGCAGTATCGCAATGCAAATGTGTAAGTCAAAGAAAGCTGCTCAGGAGGAAGTTAGGCTCGTTGCTTCACCCTCTGCAAACACCTTGATTTATTTTTTATTTAAAGTGTAAAGGCTGTGTGGGAACTGTGAGAAGCCACTGTGGCTGAGCAGCTGAGAGGCCTAAACACGTTTACAACAGGCACAAGATATTTAGCTATGTGCGTCCTCAAAAATGACACCATGGAGTCCTCTTATGGTATGAGGACCTCACTTTGGGAAGCTTTGCGTTTCTTGTCGCAAGAGTCTGCAGTAGTCAAACCTGCTGTCTTTTTAAGAAGAGTAGTGCTAAGTACAGACACATAATCTAGCAAGAAGAATTTAGGGACAATTACTATATATGGCATTAACGTGACCCCCTGCCCTCAAAGACCTGTTCATACAAAGCAAGTTTGAGCTGAGACTCCAAAGACACAAATGTTATCTAGACAAAGCCTTGACAAGAGCATTTTGAACCACCAAGTTTCCTGTGAGTTTAAAAATAGATAGAATTCAAAAGGACTTGGGTGCCGTAATTTCAAAATCAGGAGTCTGTAGTAACCTGTATTGCATTGACTCTCTTCTCTAGTGTTAGCAGTGATGGCTTGCCAAGCCTTGCTTTTCAGTCCTGCAAACTCACAACTGCAGTCTGGCTTCTTTTGCAAGCTGCAACTGTATTAGGGTTCTCTGATAGATTTTCTTGTTGCAGAAGTTAAAAAAAAAAAAAACCAAACCAAAACAGAGGAGAGAGAAATTCCAGAGCACTTCCAGCAAGAGTCTAAAACTAGGATTTCATTCACCTTCATATACTCACAATCCACTCCCACACTGGACCTTATCTGAACTGGCTGGTGCACACTCATGCTTGGAGGTGACCTGACAAGGTGTGGATCTAGCTCTTACTGTAGCCATGTGGCACTTCTTGTCTTGTTCCCATCTTTGCTCTGAGAAATTATGCAAAGACAAACAAGTGTGTTTCAGGGGTAAATGGGGTTGTGGAATGGATGATTTTTTTTTAAATTTTTAATTTTTTTTAGAGGGAAAACAACAGGGTGCAATTGATTTGCAAACTTGGAGGAAGAAAGCTGGGAGTGGGAGGATAATCAATACTGGGCTCGACTACTGCATTCCAATAGAGTGTCTGCATGGCAATGAGTCTAGAGAAAAGATTTCAATTAAGCAGCAAATGACTTGGTAACCAAAGACTCCTGCCACTTCAGCAGCAAGATGCCAGATAGTGCAATACACTGATTTCTTCTCATTAACTGTAGACTGGATGAAGTATATGGAAGTGGAAAAGTGGGGGGCTGGGGGGAAGAAGCAATACAAATCTAATAAGCTTTAAGTGCAAAAAGATAATTAGAAACTGCAATTTCCCTGGCATTCATTTTAAAAAATGAGGTGAAAAAGCACAGAAACCAGCGTTCGGCTTTCCTGTAAATTCAGTGCGACAACCCATGCTGAATATGTTTGCTCCATTCCAATGAGTGAGTCTGCTGGGATTTCTTGAGTGCCATTTTTTGATTCTTTCTACTTCAAAGTTGCAAGTAAAAGAATTTCATCGGCTCAGTTCCTACATGGAAGTATATATCCAAGACAAATGATTCCCACAAGCATCTGGGAGAGGATCACCCTCTCAGACCCACTGCTTTTTGTAACTTCATGCCCATCCCTATGAGTTTCTGTGAGAACCTTTGGGGATGTGCTGAAATTTTGTGCCTCGTGGTGTGTGTTAGAAGCTCTGTGAGGCTGCTGTTTGTTACCCAGGTGACCTCAGAACGATGAGTTCAAGTTTCTTCCAGTTTCTATTTAGTTACTAAACGATTTCCTAAAACTAGCTGGTAATAACTTCCCCTCTAGACTTCACAAGATAAAGACAAGAAAGCGGGGGATGAGGGAATAGCAAAGCCTTTCCAGCAGCAGGCAGATGCGTCTGCTCTCTAGCTCAGAAGTAACAGTAAAACACAACGTTGGGAGCTACAGACAGGCTCGCCTACCCCACCATGTTTTGGAGGGGTGGATTGCATCTAACACAACCATGAAATGTTCACTCTGTCTGTGACAATTGAGCTTTGCTATGGCAGTTTAGCTTAGCACCCCAAAAAAGCTGTCGGCTTCTGCTCTCTTCCAGGTTTGTCTTGACCAGTGCTGTGCACTACCTTGGGAGCTTTCTGGGATTTTCTCCATCCCTTTGTTTTTACAGAAGCACCCTTGAAAGTCCTCTGGGACTGTTCATCTCCTGGCCCAGCAGAGACAAGGAGAGGGAAATTGCCAAGTGATTTGGAAATTATTGATGGAAGAGCATTGGAAATTTAAGGTGGGTTTTTGTGTTGTTCAGAGAGAAAACTTATTCTCCAAATAAACAAGAAGAATCAGAACACTAAAAAAACCCACCCCAAACGAACAAAAAAACCCAAATGGAGGATGTAGTTTGCAGTGGTGCAAGAGCATTGTCTGAGCTGACTGAGCTGAGAGTGTCTTGGTGCATTTTAATAGCAGCCAGACAGTGGCTTATCTTATTTATGCTGGTGTAGTCCCTAGTGGATCTGGCTGAGAAAGTGCCACCAGGCAACCATCACAGCAACAACAATGGCAAGGATCTCTTCAAAGGGTCGTTGAATATCACAAATGATTATGCTAGTTCATGCTGGCATGTAAGCAGATACCACCAAGCCCCTAGGAGATCTGGCCCACCAGCAGGCATGTGAAGGTGAAAGCCGGTGGAGATGAACAGCCGAGCTGTTCAAGACACCAAGAAATGTATTCCTTAAAATGGAGCAGTCAAGCTTTGCAGACTTCTGCAGTTTGGACGTTTCAGTTTGCTCGGTTCCCCAGCTCCCTGGTTGGCTCTTTCCTCCTCCCCCCTTTTCTATGGCCCTTGTGCAATATTTTCATGGGTTTGTGGTTGGTTTTTTTTTTTTTTGGCTGTGCCTGTGGTTGTCCATCTAATTAAGTCCAACATCACAAACTGCCCCATTCTGGTTGAATGCCGATACTGAGAAATATCTTTTTTTCTTTGCAAAGAGTAGAGATGAAGGAATTTAATTAGCATAGGGCCTCTATTCCCCTGTCAGATAATTTAATTGTTAATCATTAATTCTGAGGGTAAAAAATAATGTCTGGCAGCAGAAGCACAAACTGTTGCAAAACAAGTGTTTACAGAGGAAATGTATCTCAGCAAAGTGTGGAAGGCCCAGGTCCCTGTGAAAGCAAACTGGTGCAACACCAGTGGCTCAAGAGAACAGCCCTGGGTTTATTCCTCTGGTTGAACTCTGTGCAGGTTGGGGAAATAGAAGATTTCTGATCATTTGCCCCAGTTCAGTGCTGCTCAGCAAAGGTTTCTGAAGTGGTTTGGTGGTTTTGTTGTGTGGTTTTTTGGTTGGTTTTTTTTGAAACACAACACAAGCCAGAAAGCTTGGCAAGGATGTGTTGGGAGTAGCATTCAGGTGAGCTGGCTCACACATTTGTCCTTCAAATGTGATGTTTTCTGTATGCTGGTATCCCAGGAGAGAGGAACGTCCATCAGACCTTTGAGGCAGGCTGAGGTGATCAGTATAACTGTTTCTCCCCACCCCATTACCCTTAAATCCAGGCCTTTCTAGAGCAGTGTGGGGTCTCGGGGACACAGGAGAATTCATCAGGTTAGTTTTATTGACTCCAGCAGGCTCTGAGAGGCGTAGTCACAAAGACATCAGACAGTTGGGTGCAGAAACACATTGTGTCATCCATGATTAACCAGCGTAATGGTGGCTGTCCCCCTGCTCTTCTTGCCTGGGTCTTCCAAATCATCTCCCTGGTCCATGAGATGGTGCCTCTTGGGTGCAGAGGCCCCTGAGCAGGGACTGGAGCTCAGCAGAGC